TAAACCCTAAACCCTAAACTCTTGCACTAAGCCCCAAACCCTAAACCCCAAACCCTTAACCCAGAACCCCGGGTTCCTTGAAGGGTACCATGAGGGTTCTACCATCAAACCTGAGGGTTCAGGGTTTAGGGCGGCTAAGGCTCCATGTACCAACATTAGGGTTTAGGGTTTAGAGTTTAGGGCTTATACAGGGTTTAGGGTTTAGGGACCCATATGGGGACCCCTTTCAGTTAAGGCCTAAGTATATACTAGTATATACCATGTATGGATGCATGGAGCCTTGGGGGAACGCGTGAAGTCCTGCAGAATCCTATGGATCCCGGACAGAAGCTACTCAGGGAGTCTTCAAGTTGATATCGAACCTTCAAAAGGCCTTAACGAACCCCTTAACCCTAAACCCTAACCCCTAAACCCTTGAACCCTAAACCCTAAACCCTATCCCCTAAACCCCTAAACCCTTGGCCTTATCGAACCCCAGAACTCTAAGCTCTTTAGCCCTTACCTTGGACCCTGAGAAACCTTTTGTCGTTGATGATCTTTCTTTATGAGTTCTTAGCAAGGTAGGTTCTTTGGCAGTGTTAAGGGGTCTAACTTATTACCGATACTGTTTTGGGGTTTCCTGATTATAATTATAGTATATTGGGCCCAAAACCCTATTCAAATTACTAAGGCCCCTAAAGTACAGGTTTGCCCTATCAACCATAAAGCCCAGAGCTTTACATCTGAGCCTGAGCATCTCCGTCTCCGCGGGTCGCGATGGTCGTGTCGAGACGTAGGGGCTGCGCTATACCAACTATATAGTCCAAACCCTAAAGCTCCAAACCATAGAACCCTAAAGTTTAAAGCCCTTAACCCTAAAATCCTAAAGCTCTAAACCGTACCTAGACCCTACCCACTACTAAGAACTAGATGGGCTCGGTTGAAGGGCAGTTGGGGTGTCCTGGTAGACCCTGAGCTAAACAAACTAAACTGTTTTTGGGGCTTCCCCGCCCCGAAGGAGTCGGCCGTAAACCCTCCTAAACGCTAAACCCTAAACCCCTAAGCCCTAAACCCTAAACCCGGGAATAATTGAAGCCAGAGCTGCTCGGATGTTGTTCAGGTATTGTCATGTAGGCATTGACCCTAAACGGCCTTAGGTTTAGGGTTTTTTTGGGGATTTAGGGGTTTAAAGTAATAAATCCTGTTGCCTACAGTATAGACTCGCACCCTGATTCCGGTATCCGAAGGCTCTAACAGCATTGAACCCTAGTTACTTATGTCATATGCCCTAAACCCTAAACCCGAAACCCTTATATCATAAGCTCCACAGGTTGCACACAGTTCATTCCTAATCTTACCCACGCATGTGGCTTTCTCCGTTTTATCGGGTTTAGGGTTTAGGGTTTAGGGGTGCCAAAGGGGATACTGTGAGCGTCCACGGGCAGGTTAAGCCCTGTAGGGTGAAGATGGCCTCAACTTATTCCCCGAACCCCTAAACGCTAAACCCTGAACCCTAAACCCTAAACCCTACACCCTAAACCCTAAACCCTAAACCAGATGGCCTAAACGAAGTCCTCGAACCGTATCGACCGTCGAACTGCGGAACGACCCTGGGGCCAATATTTTCCGCTCCCGGATTTCTTCAGAGAGATCGGCCCTCTGACAAACCAGCTGGGAATGCACGCATTCGGCGGTTGTTCCGAAACCCTAAACCCTAAACCCGAAACCGTTTCAGGCTTTTCAGAGACTCCAGGTACACCTACTTAAAGGATCATGGGACTTAGTAAGTAGGGTTACAATTAGGGTAACTATACTTATAACCCTAATTAACGGATTTATAACCTTACTTACTACGTCCAGGATCCTCCAAGTAAGGCCTAAGCCCCGATTCAACTGCCGCTTTATACGCCAATGAACCAACTCAGGGTATTCTTAGGGGCCCTTTAGATGGATCCTAATACTTTGGGTTTATAGGGCCCGGGTTTCTGAATCAGGTCCCTGAACCCCTAAATGCGGAGGGTTTAGGCTTTAGGGTTTATTGTAGGAGCCTTAATAATTACAATAAGGTCTTGGGTGGCTTCTTATCATAATTATAGTATAATATAGACCCGAACCCTATTGTAATTATTCAGGCTCCTACATGTATGTATATATATATATATATACATACATATATATATATATATATACATATATATATATATATATATTTTAGGGGGTTTGGAGCACTTCGAACGTCGGGGCGAGGGTCTGGGATCCGATGTGGCTTGTGGGTGTTTGAATTCAAGCATTGACCTTGAGGTCAAGTAGGAGTTTAGGGGTTTTAATGGGCTGAGCTTAGAAAGTTGTTGTCATGATTCTTCTTGTGCCAGTTAATTAATCTTATCCCCCGAAAACAAGCGAGGCTAGCACATCTGAGTCCAGGTCAAGGGCCGCGTGTACGGGTGATTCTGGGTGATCTCCCGCAACGCTACCCATATTGTGAACCCTA